CTTATACATTTAGTTTTTTATCATCTCATTGTAATATTATGATGCTGGTTTCCACAGATTTACCTATAGGCCTTTATTTGTCCCCTGCACACTTTTTTGTGTTTAATGGCTATTTATGACATGACACAGCTATATTTAACAAATTAATTTTATATTTGTGGGTAAAAGTAACCATATAGCCTAAATTTCTTTTGCAAAGACCATTTTCAGACTGACCTTTTTTATGACAAGTTTCAAATTCTGAACTAACTAAAAAATCTCAAATAAAACTATTAATAAAACAAATAATCAGTTAGAATAACATAGAATACATTTTAGAAAAGTTTGATCATTTGTAATAATTTTAATGTTTTGATGCTAGTATGTGACCCCTGCTGGCAAAAAAAAAAAAAACTCATAATGAGGAATTTTTCACTAGTGACCTATTTATTTCTAATGTTCCATCTCAAAAGCTTCAAAACAAGTTCTTCTTTGCTGAAATTAGCAGATTTATCGCCTGACCTGGCACCAAGCTGGTTTTGTTTACGAGCGGAGCCAGTTTGACAGATCAGCTGTGTCCAAAACTGGTACTCGAGGGCTGCTATCCTGCAGGTTTTACTTGTTCCCTTGCTCCGACACACCTAATTCAGTCATTAATTACCTCTTCGTGTTCTACAGAAGACTATTAATCACTCGTTGATTCATATCAGAGGTGTTGGAGCTGAAAAACAGGTAAAACATAGTGATCGTGGCMCTCAAGGACCAGCTTTGGATACCTCTGGTGGTATATTTAAAAAGGGGAGTTCGCTTTATGAAGGGATTTCCCATCACTTTAGTAACTGGCAGAGAAATATTTCAATGCAGTAGGATAAATGTTTATTTCTAAAGGCATATCTGTTAGAAAAGTTTGATTTAAAAGAAAATGATGTGTGATTTTAGTACCTTGGATCGCTCCTGTTCAGGGTGACAGGAAATAAATCAGCTTGTGTGTGATGGTTCAGTAAAGTTTAATTGCTTTGTTTCTCCCCTGCAGGAGTGTGTGTCAGCAGGCGCTGGCTTGAGCATTGTGGGCAGTGGGCCAGGGAGCAGTGGCGGAGCTGAGATGCCCGGTTCATTTGTGCCCACTGTCACCGCCATAACCACCAGCCAGGACCTGCAGTGGATGGTCCAGCCGACCCTCATCTCCTCCCAGGCCTCTGGGCAGAGCGTTTCCACCGCCACCACAACCATGGCCCAGCCGGTGTCACTGGTGGACCCTTACGACATGCCGGGTCCCAGCTACTCCTCGGGGTCCGGGTTCACCCCTCCGAGTTCTGAAACTCAGGGGCCAGTCCCGGGCCCCATCCGCCAGTCCAGACCCCGCAGCCGCCGTGCACGTGACGAGTCTGTGAGTGAAGATGGAGATGTTGGTGTGTTAGTAAGTTTGTGTGCTTGAGTGGTTTGTGTGTTGACTCTAGCAGTGCAGGTAAACAGCTCACATGGGAACTAAATGGACCCAAATAATGTTTGACTTAAAATACATGCAGGGAAAGRCACTGTCAGTGTACGAGACAAAATAATGACATTAACAATAAAAGTCAGTCTTTTCTACTAAACCGTTTATGTCTATTCTTACAGCTAACACCTGAAGAGGAGGAGAAGAGACGTGTTCGCAGAGAGAGGAACAAGCTGGCTGCTGCCAAATGCAGAAACCGCAGACGGGAACTCACCGACAGACTGCAGTCGGTGAGTTTAGACATGTTTTAGCTGCAGAATGAGCAACAAGAACAATTACAGGCTTTAAATAACAACCCATTGCACTGTGAAAGATTTTATCAATACAGTTAATATGTTACCTGCAAGGAAGAAAAGCTTATAGGGATTAGACCTAAATGCAAACAGCTGAAGTGATATTTCAGATAATTATAAGTTTAATCATGAACATTTTACCTGTTGCAGATAACTTCTAAGTTTGGCTAAATGTTTTCATAACAGTTTATATTAACTTTAGTTATAAACATTTTCACCTCCATCACTTCTGAAGTACACAATTACTTATCAAGGCAGGGGTGGGCACAGTTCTGCTAATCCACTAATAGCGGAACTAGCTTCTCATTTAGCAGATTAGCWTTTTTTAGCTAACTTTGTAAACCATTAGCTTCTGCTAAATTTATTTCAACTAATTTTAAGTCCATTAAAAATTCACAAGTGTGAAACTTCTGTTTTTATACCATTTATCTCACATTTAATAAGAACTATCCCCTCTACAAGCAGTGCTGGACGAGGGTTCATGTAGCATCTTTAGCGGCTAGACTTCAAACTATCAAAAATAACATTTAACAACATTTTAATAATGACAACAATATTTGACCATGTATGGTAGAGAAAGTATTTGCTACGTTTGACTAACTTCAAACAGTATTTATAAAAATACAAACTTGATCGCGCCCACTTTCAAATGAAACCAGTAGAAAACTAACAAGGTCATCAGTCCCGCCATTCATAAACAGGAAGGAGATGTCGTATTAGCGGTTAGCATTAGCTTCCACTAATTTTTATATCTGTATAGCRGTTTAGTGCTAGCGAAGCGCAAACATTACTGTTCCTCTTTCATCTGCAAATCCTTTTTTCTTGCCTCACCCACTTTTGTCTCGTCTCTCTCCCACCCCACGCTGCCTCGCTCTCTGCAGGAGACTGACATACTGGAGGAGGAGAAAGCAGAGCTGGAGGCTGAGATCTCGGAGCTGCAGAAGGAGAAAGAGCGTCTGGAGTTTGTCCTGGTGGCCCACCAGCCAAACTGCAAGATTCCGTACCAGGAGCAGGCTCAGCAGGGCTCGGTGCAGCTCCCTCCCGTGCAGTCCCAGATCCCTCCCCAGTCCTTACAGCCTCCTCCCGTCTCCATCGTGGGCTTGACTGTGAAGGAGGACTCTTTCTATCTCCCTCCTGCCTACGCGGCCCACCCGGCCTCCTCGCAGCCCCAGCCTCGGGCCCCGCAGCAGCCGCAGCAAGTCCAGCCGCAGCCCCAAGCAGGGATGATGCAGGAGGTAGAGTTTTCTAGTTCTTACTATGGCTCGAGCGAGCCCGCTCCTGGTGGGCCGTGCCTCGTGGCCAGTGACAGTGGTGGTGGTGTTAACCGTGACGATGCGGCCGCTGGCAGTTACAGCACCTCATACACATCTTCATTTGTGTTCACCTACCCAGAGGGAGCCTGCGGGGTCAGCGCCAACCAGCGGAACAGCAGTAGCGAGCAGTCATCCGATTCCCTGAACTCGCCTTCGCTGCTGGCGCTCTGACTGACCGACAGACACACACATAACGCCAAGCACACACACCACTGGAGGTAGAGGCGGAGACACCCAACACATCATATCTGTCTGACAGGATGAGGATTAGCCAATCGTTCCAGCCTGATTGGGTTAAAGTTTACACATTGGAGAATGGATTCCAATTAAGAGCCATAAAAATGAAATGTTGCACATCAGACCTAACCTTTAACACAGAGCTGAAACAAGAGAGCAATCCTTTGTTTTTCAGCACAGCAGAGCACGATTAATGCGTAAAAAAACACAAAATGACCAATTTGAAGTGCTCTGAGTTACAACATTGATTCACAATGAATTCTTTTATTCAAATACTCTCATTGAGTAAACGACACATTAATGCTACACCCCAACACACACCAGAGCCCCCAACTTGTTCCCTCTGTYGGTTGCCTCTTTGCTAGTGCTCCTGCTTTTCATTCTTTTCCATTATTATTTTTTTTCTCCTGTTTCCCCCGCCTCTCTTGTTGAATGTATTTATGGACCGAGGACAATCAGTTCAGGGTCTTTTCACGGGCGACAGACTGCTCGCTCACCTGTAGCACTTCATCATCTGCTCGCCTTTCCTCTGCTTCCTCATTTTGCTGCTTGGACTTGACAAGTTTGGAGCGTCTTTGTGCTTTTCTCCTCTCATCTCAGACAAAACAAAACAAAAAAAAAATCTCTTCTGCCGTACCTGCCATGCGACCCATCTCTGTTTTCTCCTCTTCTGTCTCTATATTTCTCCCTCTCTTTGAAGTCTTCGACCACTGAGAGCCCAGAGACCCCCTCCAGCCCCTGGAACCTTGAGTGAAAAAGCCGGCACAACTAACCCATTCCCCATTTTTTGCACATGCAAGGACACGGAACGCAACCCATCCCAAAACAGAAGAAGAAAATCTCTTTTCTTGGAGATCATTTGCTCAGATATTTGYTGCATAAAGACGGACGCCATCGTCTTCTGCTGAGCCATTTTTTTTTGTTTGTTTTCAACGTAAACATTCATGCCGTGAAGATTAGACACGTTTGGGTTTGAGGAAAGTGAGAAAAAAAACTGAGGTAAGGAGAGCAGGCGACAAGGACCCTGATGGAGAGAGAAAGTCCTGGTCATCGACCAATAAAAAAAACAAAAGAGCTGAATGGTTTACATACAAAGCAAAAACAATAAAAAAAATCAAAAACTAAGAGAAAGACGAGAAAACGTTTGAGAAAAACACCATGTTTCACACCTCTGAGCTGAAGAAACAGACGTCTGGTCGCAGCTCGGAGTTTATCAGATGTGAACCTTCATTTAAAGGAGGGACTTTTTATTATTCATTTTTAATTAAAAGGAAAAAAATGTGTTTCAGACAACCTCTACACATTGGGCTCAGTGAGTGAGGTGCCGCCGGGCCCGTTTATTTCTTTCTTTGTGGAGGTTGATGTGGTGATTGAGCACAAAATGCAAAAGCAACACCTGGTTGGGGGGATAAAAAGAAAGGAAAAAAAGAAAAAATAATCAAATGCAGAGACGACACTTGGGCTGATATTGTGGAGTGAGCGTTATTTTCTTCGCCTGTGAACTTGTAAAACAAATTGTTTTTTCCCTGTATCGTGAAAAACTGTTATATATATTTTATTGTTTATGTTCATGAGATTCCTCGTTCCGTTTATTCTCTTGTACTGTTTTCTTTTTGTTATTTTCACTAACTGTTACTATTATCTTTGTAACATTTATTTTATTATTATTATTATTTTGTATATATATTTTTTTTAATTTGGCAACTTTGGAGGCAAATTGTGCACTAAAAAAAAAGAAAAAAAAAACATCTTCAGACATCTGAACATGTATGTGTATAAGTTTCTGTGCCATGATTGTAAACGTTGAATGTCTGCAGATATAAACAGGATATTTTTATCAATGAAGGTTAAGGTCAAATAAATATTTAAAAAATGAATATTTTTATAATGGAACAACAAAAACAAAAGAGACTATGATGAGTTTAACGTCCCTGAACATGAAGCACGATGTCACTGCCTCTGTCCTTGTGTATTTATGTTTTATAAACAATATAAAGCGACTTACATTTAATGTATGATGTTACAAAAAGTTGTATTAATCGCCTTTACTGTTTTTTGTTTTGTTCATTTTTTGTTTTAATTTCTCAGAGGTCTGTCCCAGAGRTACTGACACCGTAACGCCACTTTTTTATTTGGATACAGTGTTCAAGCAGCAGCATTAAATTCATAACTTGTTTCTGGTTTAAAGTTTAACGTTTCACTCTTCTAACAAAACACGAGTTTTTGAAGGAGAACCACAGTTTTTTGTTTGTTCACTCTGTTTGCTAAAATTGTGATTGTATTTTCTGAATAAGGAGCTTTATGCCTATCAAATAAACACGTTTTTTTTTTTCAAAATAAGAGGAAAAATTACATGAATGCTTGCTTCAGTGTGGCTCTTGGTGCTCAGAAAATGGGTAGACCTCTTTTTTTTGTTTGTTTATTGCAATGTTGAATAAGAATTGTGTTTGTAAAAAAAAAAAAGAAAGAAAAGAAAATGCTGGAGATGCCCTTTTGACTTCCTCCAAAATGCAAATGTGATACAAAAAAAAAACATATGTACTGGTGTCAGCATAAGCATAAAACACATTCAATAGTTCTCATGTATATAGGTTTTTTTGTGGTGCTACTTCTATTAGACTCTAAAGGACGAGGYGGCAATGCGTTACTGGCAAATAAAACATTACTTGACTCCAACTGGATGCCAATAACAGGTGAATTTTCAGCCTCAACTGCCTCCTTCATCTTTTAGGAGCTCCRTCACTCGTAACTTCATCCGGTTTCTTTCTATTTGCTTTAAAGTTTTGCAAGTGTACAATCAAAAAAAGAAAAAAAATGGAGAATGAGAGCTACACAGCCTGCCTGCATCTACATGTACTGTACAACAGCTTCTAACTGACCAAGAGCTTTCCTATTTTTCTATGATGAGGTGAATGTTCTTATGTTTCCACTTTTCCCCCCCATACACGCTATGACTTCATATTATCCTCGTTCTGAAATGCAATACTTACAATCCTCTYGGATGAACACAATGTAGCATTCCTGCAGTAATCAGGCTGACTGCTACATGGCAAGTGTGATGTTGTATTGCTTTGCTTATCTGCTTTTGTTTCAGTATTAAAAAGTCAGTACATATATAAAAAACATTTATTTTTGAAATGATCTTCAAACATATATATAAATATATATTTATTTTTTCATTTATTGATTGTGTAGTGCGTACAGCAAGACTCAAAAGTTTTAGAAAGCTGTAATTCTTTTTATGGATGATGTTTCTATTACGATGGAAGCAAAATGTCCACTTTTAAAATGGAATTAAAATACAATAAATGTGATTTTGTTTTTTAATTAAGCATAAAGCCCAAAGAAACTTGAATAAATTACGTTATTTGCTGACAGGTGCATGGGTAAAAAGTAAAGGACTTTGTTTGTTTTTTTTCTCAAAAATGCTTAAAAAATACACAAAGCGCTGCTGTCCTATTTCTGTTTTAATCCCTTATTCTCTTTAAGAAGACCAAAATATTTGACATACGTGTTATATTCCCTGTGTTGCCTCTACTCTGCGTCCAGATTTTGGGCTTGGGCCCTTTTTCTGTTCTAAACRTTTGTTTACATTTTAAAGTTTTTCTTCTTGGTTTTCTGACTGCAAACGTTGATATCTCTTCTATAGATGATTTTGAGTAAATGCCATTCATTTTTACTTTCTGAAGAATTACAWAAATAAAGACCTTATTATATGACGAATATGCCCTGATTTGCCTCATTACATATTTGTTGTCAATTTGAAAGGAATGCTATTTGTCTTCTTCTTTTTGTTGCTGTTGCTTGAGCTGAGTCTGCTGGTCATTCAAGGCCTTGAATATTTTTATTTTAATCAGTTCTAAGTAGTCAAGCATTCAAAGACTTTACACAGTATAACGAGGTGTAGCATATAAAATACAGCACATATTTTGATGCCTATGTACACTCATAAAAGAAATTATCTTTTCTGCCTGGTCTCTTTTTTTGTTATTGTAACTGGTTTCAGTTTTTTCTCTATGTTTATTTTCTGAATGCAATAATTAAAGCCCAAATAGTCATATTAATTTTCCAAAAAGATTATTTTGCCAATATTGGTTTTATGTGACTTCCCAGTCTCTGTCGCCCTCTAGCGATAGAACCACATACAACGTTCTGTACTCTTGGCGGTGTTGTAACAAAAAGTGAACCCTGCCATAAAAAGTCAACCAGAAACGGCACCTGATGAATCAAACAAAAGTAAAAACGAACTAGTTTTTTATTACCGTAGATTCACAGTTATAGTTAAATATAGCCAAGAGAAAGAAAAATAAAATGTCACCTCACTTCAGTTTCCTCAAGGCAGGGAGCGCGTTTCACGGCGGGGGTACATTGTCCGGCACAACACCGGAAGTTGCGTCACCACCGCGCAAGCATATTCATTAAACATGGCGACCGTGACAACAGGTGAGAGAGGCCCCGGCGAGACACATACAACACATTTACCAGTAAAATTCGAACAATTTGAGGARAAAAACAGTGAGATATGACCTCCGAGAGCTTTCTTAACGTTAGCGTAAAAACCTAACTTGTTGAAGGCGCAACAATCTGACCGTTTTAGCTCGTTTTAATTCACAGCCGACGAGTGCTAGCATTGATGCTAACATCTGTAGGGTTAATGTTATTTTTAATGTGTCGTGTTTTAATTAATAACAACGAACGAAATATTTGGGCTAGTCGAACCTGTGAGGGGTCACATATACTAGGTGTTTTAGCAATCTGCTCATAGCATTTTTAGATTTCTGAAAACGAAACGCCAATGTTGTAGCACGGCAGTCTCTTCATCTCTTCATCCTGTGCGGCTGTAACTTGTTTAAGCGCCTGTGTGTGTCAAATGATGAATTAGTCAGTGTGAGAGTTTGATGTCGGTGCGGCAGAGAGCGTATTCAGTGACTGTCAGGGTTATTGTTGTGGCAGCTGTTGTGCTTCCTTTCTGTRTCTGTAACTTCAGCCAGAAGATGTTTCATCATTAGTGATATAAATAACCTCCAGCTGCTCACAGTCAGCCTGTAGTGAACCCCAAGACACTGCTGTCTCCTCAGATTTATGTTTGGTTTCAGGCTGCTCTCCTACTGCAAAATACAGTGTTTATGACTATCTACAATTAGCTGTATTTCAGTCACAATTTTATCGCCACCTTTGGATAGTAATACTTTAAATAGTAAGGCTAGTAATACTACTCTTTTTTTTATAGAATGACTGATTTTATGTGACATCTGTAGTAGACTATCATCAAATAAAATCACAACAGATTTGGTAGTTTGAGGATTTTTTTACTTGAGTTTATATTGTCCTTCAATTATTTTTATCATTTAGCCACCTCAGAGTGGATCCAGTTTTTTAAGGATGCAGGGATTCCAGCTGGCCTCGCAGTCAATTATGCTGTTTCCTTTGTGGACAACAGGTAACTTGCAGCTTGTGTTACATAAAGCYGACATCAAACATCTAAGATTTTTTATTCTCTGTTTTTGTAATTACATTTTTTTTCTGCCTATTAATATAACTACAGAATTCAGAAGAACATGCTGATGGACCTCAGTAAAGACATCATGATGGACCTCGGTATTACAGTTGTTGGTGACATCATTGCCATTCTTAAACATGCCAAGCAGGTGTACAGGCAGGTGAGGTCAACTTTAATGTCTTGAAATGTTGTAAATGGCTCACTTTGACCATTTTTATTTTAGCAATGTATTTCAGATGGTGTTATAGCTGTTAACTTGAGGCTCTAAAGCAGGGGTCACCAATACGGTGCCCGCGGGGACTTTGAGTCGCCCGCAGGACACCTTGTAAAAATAGCACTGATCGTCATAGAAGCAGCGCTCTAAATACTAAAAAAAGGAACCAAAAAAGTCACCCATTTTGAGCTATTATTAACAAAACACTTTCCAAACAGCTGCTGTTAAAGCCACGTCTCCCGTTAAAACGCTGTCAACTCAACAAACTCAACAAATTCTCTCCTGCGTCTCGCTCCGAGTCCCTCTCTGTCCTGTGGACTGCAGCTGCACACAGACACACACTGAACTCCACCCCCAACGCCCACCCTTCAAAAAATTAACCCTTAGGGCACAGATATTCAGCTTGTTTACCTCGGAGTAGAGGCGAATTATATTACACAACTGATAACCTAATAAAGTTCATTGTGTCTATAAAATCAATCTACGTTTTCCTAATTACTAGACACTTTTTTATTTTTTATGTCTGTACAGACATACCTGACATGTTTCGACGTGTACTTCCGTCTTCATCAGAGGTGTCACAGCTGATGTTGATTGGGTGTCGGCTCATCAATACATATTGACAAGCCGACACCGCCCCCTGCTGGCTTCACTGCTGGAGGATGTCACTCCAGGTATGTGAGAGCTTGTAGGCCCAAAAAGCGAGCCCACACAGCTATGAACCGGGATGAGGGGGCCTACAAGCTCTCACATACCTGGAGTGACATCCTCCAGCAGTAAAGCCAGCAGGGGGCGCTGTCAGCTTGTCATTATATATTGATGAGCTGACACCTCTGATGAAGACAGAAGTACACGTCGAAACATGTCAGGTATGTCTGTACAGACATATAAAAATAAAAAAGTGTCTAGTAATTAGGAAAACGTAGTAGATTTATTTTATAGACACAATGAACTTTGTTAGATTATTTGTACAAGGATTGTTCTAAACCCCATTTTAAATTTCATCAATGGGAAACCGTGGAGCTCGTCTGGTGAAGCTGCAGGAATTATTTTATGTCTAACCGCAAGTGACTGAAGTATGTCAATATTTCATTTCTATATTAAAATTAAACTTAATTACGATAATTAATTCAAACAGACTTCAGAACACAGTAAGAAAAAAGATGAGAAAGAAGGATGTTATTA